TCAATTACAATCTAGAGGTGCAATCATAGTTATAACCGATGTTCGTGATCACGAATATCACCATTATCATAATTTTCTCGAGAAATTTTAACTTTAATTAATCTAATTAAAAAAAAAAAAAAAAATTTTTGAAGTCTCAAGTCTAATGATGATGATCATCTGGTGTACAACTAGCTCTTTCTTATTTAAGTTGGATAGAGAGAAATTTGAATGGCGGAAACTATACGAATTATGTAACGAGTAATATTTATTTGTATACAACTCCAAAGATGCATTGTCTCATTTTAATCATAAAAAGGTTTAAAACTTTAATTCTATTTTCGACAGAATGAATATTTGCCCAAGTTAAATTTTTTATAAATGTGGCGAATTTCGATTTATCGTCTTCGGGCACTCCTTCATCATACCAAATAATTTATCAAAGATAGTAATAATGTTCTATTTTATTGAACCTGAGACATTATCTTCTCCCGAAAAGATTCCAAAGAGAAGAAAGCCTAATATGTTCATAATGTACCGTAAAGATATGATGAAATATAAACCCCATAATATGCCTATGACAAAATATAGCAAGTTAGTATCTGCATGGTGGAAAAATATTCCTGCAGAAGAAAAAGCGAGATTGCAAAGACGTTATCAAATAGATAGAGATCAAAAATTGCAAGAGTACGCGCGCAATAAAATTGAAACAAAAGTTCCTTTGAAAAATGATGAGTTTACGCAAATTAAATCTACGGTTGATGACCCCGTAAACGAATCAACTGATGAATTAACGGCGAAAAATAAAAGTGTTCCCGTAAACGAATCCTAACTATATAGGTTCCAATAAAATAAAATTTTTTATTCGAAATTATTTTGTTTTATCGAAATCTTTTTTTTCTCAACAATTTTAAATAACAATAATTTATAAATCGTTAAATTTATTCTTTCATATCATATCACATTTCGAAATTTACATTTGGGGGGAACAGACAGACATGATGAACAAAGAAAAAATCTGTTTTTTTAAAATCTGAATATTATTATGCCTTTATGATATAACTTTAAGTTTTATAAGCTTTTAATTATTTATTGAATTGGATTATTTAAATTTACTTTTGATAAAATTAATAATAAATTTAAAATTTTTTATGTAATTCAATGGTTAGTATTTTTTTCATTCAAGTGCCTGCAAATTTCGAATAATTTAAAATTTTTACAATTTTTTTAAAGTATGTGTCCCAGATTTAAGAAATGTAATCTAATCTCTGGAAATTCTCGTGAATTCCAACAATTGAATTAATTCCCTCAGATCGGAGATACTCTACTTATCATGATCTACAAATTTAGAAACCTTTTAGCGTTTCTTAATATAGTAAATTCATTTACAAAACATAATCGAAAATAGCGCCTCAAAATATTTGATTGCTCTTAAAAATAATTTAATTGCATTAGGCTTAATCTATTATGGTATATTATAGGGATAAATAAATAAATAAGTTTACTCAAAAGCCTTCGTCAAGGAATTAATGATGTGATGTTTGGATTTTATGCGATTGACAAACAGATCCTTCCTTTTTTGACGGAAGTAAATTTTTTTTTACTTAAATATTCATAAATTCATAAATTTTATTTTTTAGATATTGCATCTTTCATAGTGTAATGAAACATATCTTCATTAGGTATAAAATTCATTCTTTTGTTTGATAACTTTACATTATGTTTTGTTTCTTAAAGAAAGTGCAAGCATTCAGCTATTTTGTAATAAGACCCTTTTGAGAAAAAGTTATGTAAGATATTTACGCCGAAAATCAATATCGTTCTATTCGTCTGTTCAGGTTTGTTTACAAGTACATGATTCTTATAATATAATAGACATAATTGTTATTAATAATGTAAAGCAAGTGCTTGAGAAGATAATCTTTGATTCCGTAACATTCTCATGGCGAAATAATATTTAATTTCGGTTAGTAATGAGACGAATTTATCTTAATGACATGTTTGAAAACATTAGTAATTATTGTATTAGTAAAGAAATGATAACATGATTTTATAAGAAGGGCGTAAGTTATGATCGGACTCAAGAACTTGATAAGGGTGAAAATTAAACATACGAATATATCTTGTTTGTTTGGATTGGATTCGTCAACTCGTGACTCGCATTTTTGCTATTGTTGGAAAGTTTTAACAGGTAAAATGTTTTTCAAGATCAGATTAGCAGCGTGCATAGTGCATAAAAAAGGGATGGTTCAGTCAAATGAATGATTAGTAGTAAAGTTTAAAATCGATTACCAAGATCAGAATACTAATCGTTATTTTTATTATTTTTTTAGATAATCCGTTTCAAGCTTAAAGTATATTAAGATAAAAGTTCAACTTTATTAAAACTTAGTATTAATGATTCTTGCATAAAAAATTGAGCATTGCAAGAGATTATATATTTTATATAGGATATATACTTAAAAAAAAAATGCAATAATGACTTTATTGATAAAAATATTCATGTTCGAAATTTGCCAGTTTAGAGAGAGTAAAGATGAGTGTCTTGTAAATTTTCTTTTCCACCTGATTTAAATATGACTTATATCTCATTATTTCTCGATTAAATAATATCTAGATAAAATTTAAGGGACTATTGCAAATTAACGACAAAATGAATTCAAAGTAATATTCTTTGGATATTATCATTTATGTAAATTATTATTAGAAGTTATATACTAATTTTACTATTTAAGTTACGAGACAAAAATATTTAAGTTAAGTATATACTGTACATCGGAAAAAAATATATTGCCCGGATAATTAATCAGTTAAATGATTGATCTTAACTCCGACCGAAATTAAGTTTCGGCCAGAATTAAGATTTGTAAAATAGCTCTGGCCAAATTTAAGTGCCGGGTTAGGCTAAATATTTAACTGGTTAATTAACCGGTTGCGAAAATTTTCATAGGGCTGTTTACTCGTGAAGATAATCTTCCTCGTAAACACTTACGTCACCAAATAGATCATATATAATATTACAGACCACAAGAATTTAGGGTCTGAAATAATTTCTTTGCCGGAATATATTACCATTTCCACCTGAAGCTATTTCTTATTCAATTGCATCATCTTTTGCCACCGCTTTAAATATTTCTTTTTTTTGACATCATTTTTTTTTGAAACACGTCTTTAATAATTTTCATAAAAAAAAAAATCTTTCTCGGTCTTAAATATTTCACGAAATGTTGGAAATATTTTTTTAATGGAAAAATGTTATGATCGAACAAATTGAACAATATCTCTCCTATATATGTATAGACAATACATTTTTGACTTCGTAACTGCGCAGGATTTTCATCATCAAAAGAATAATAGTCGTTATCTTGGGCTTCCTCTTCTAACTTTTATTTTTTTTTATCAATAGCAATAAGGTTGACGGATGCGAGTAGATTCAGAAACTTCCAAAGCTTCGATTTCAGGAGTGCCGCATATTTCCGTCAAACGATCAACATTCCAATGTTACTAGGAGCTACATGCTTATTGGATATTTATTCAAATTTTTTTTTTGTGTTCTGTGTAAATTGTCGTATCTGAATATTTTGATGCAAGCCCTAAACCATATTATAATGAAAATAAATTATTGGCTGCATAGTTACGGCTGATTAGATTTATGTCAGTATCTTTTGCGATCACAACAAATCGGTAATGACACTACCTATACTGAACATTGTAAACAAACCCATATATATCAAATAATTCATATATGCTTTATTTAATTAGTCAGGCCAGTAATATTTCAATAAAATTCTTTATTTCCCATGTAACTGGTCACAAATTTTTTATTTCATTACTGCAGAAACAAATTTCCTTAATTTACTTGAAATGTTTGTCTTTTAATTATTTATTTAAATATTGAAGCTCACAAACATTTTACAGATAAACTAGCAAATTTATATTCTTGTTATCGTTACCAATTTTTTCGTAATGTTGACATCACAAGTTTAATTGTATTTTTAAACCAAAATGTACTTCTGACGAAATACAGATCATAATGAATTAAATTTGTAAAAAGTAATGTTTCCTATGTTAAATCGTCGTAGTTATCCTGAGATAATATGTCAAACAAAAACTTGTAGTAATTGAATTCTGTCTGTTAAACCTAACAATTCTAGTTTATATAGATTAAGTATTATTCGTTTTATTGAATAATTGTGATCGACTCTGCCTTTTTACTGAGGCGACGATACAGGATATTTATATAAATTACAAAAATAATAAATTGATAATAGATATAATAAGAAAATAAATATAACTATGAAAAATAATATAACTAATATAATAAATATAATAAAGAATTTAAGATATAAAATATATTAAGGAAAATTATGATAATGGTGATATTCGTGATCACGAACATCGGTTATAACTATGATTGCACCTCTAGATTGTAATTGA